TGCCAGCCCGCTCAGAGATGTGTATAAGAGACAGCTATGTAGAATATTGTAAATTGTATCACTAATATATACAATATAAAAGAATTAAATTATAAAGCAGTCTCTACCCACAGTAGAAATGTCCAAAATGTATCTAGGAACAGGCTAAAGACCACGACATCTTTAGGATATTCTTGATGTATTTTGAACATTGATTTAACTACGAGATTAAGATTAAGAATGTAATCAGAGAATTTTTCTTACTCAAATGATATTTTTTTTACATAAACGTTAAATTATATATATTTATTAAATGAATAAATATATAATCTACTGACTGTCTACATAGATGACACTTTATACAATACGTTGTCTACACGTAAACGTAGAGTATTATATTTTACGCGTAGATGTACAACCTGATACAAACCTTTCGATGAAAATCTTTTATTGAAAAAATTATTTTGTTTTTTTACAATTTCTTGAACTTATTAGATACTAATGTCAGTAATGTCTATTTAGTTAATACAAGATAGTTTATGCAATCAATGCATATGTGTAATTTAAGTAGTACGTATTGCTTGATGCATGTACATAAAATAATAAGATAATATACTAAATTTTATGTATGCATGTATATGTATGTGTATATGTTTAGATAATTAATCTTCCATCGAGTGTGAAATTTTCAATCTAGGTTGTCAAAATTTGCGAGTGGCACTTAAAGGAGTTTCTTTTGAAGGAATGTAGACAAATCACTTTAAGAAGAATAATACATATATAATAATGATCTAATATAATATATAATATAATAATAATATTCAAAATTAACACAGTAAAAATACACGAAAATGCAAAAAAACGAAAATTATTAGCGATATTTATAGTATAGTTTCTCAATGGAAACTAAAGAATAAAGATGCCTAAAGCTAAACAAAAATAAAAAATAAAAAAATATGCTTTCTCCTCAGAGCGACCATTTTCTATGATTTCAGTGTCATCTATAGTTAATTTTTTTTCACGAATGGGTCTTTAAAATCCGCAGCAGATTTTTCTTTTATTCAGTTAAATAAAAATCTGAAAAAATTCATATACACTTGTGAAACCTTTAACAAGTTTTTACCGTAACAGAAAGTTTTTTTAGGGCGAGATACCGAACCTCACCATCTATTCATTTTCTTAAAATTTATAATCGAAAAATTGTCATAAAAGACCCAGATTGCCGATGGAGGATTAAGATCACAAATGAATTATATATTCAAAATTAATGTATTGAATCGTTCAGGAAGTTCGTGCGGATTTTTAATTAAAATTCAGACATTTTTTATACATTCATACATACATTTAATCAATCACATATTTGTCATTCTGTTCGATTACCATTTGCCATCTTTGAGGAAGTTTCAGGATTCCGGATTTTCAAAAGTCGTCATTTTTGTAATTGAATGAACGATGAACCATAAAACGTGATTTTTGCAAAGATATAAAGTTTTTACCAGTCACGAAATTTTATAGGTAGTTTCCGAAATAAGTGGTAATCACAGGGTGCTAAGTCGATGAATATATAGCAAATGCGATAGAACATCTCAGCTAAATTATATCAATTTCTGTCGGGTCGCGAGGTCTGGCATTATCCTGGTGAAAGATAACATCTTTTCGATTGACCAATTCGAGATGCTTTTCATCGATCGCTGTCTTCAAATAATCTAATTGACACAGTTTGTCTAAATTAAGCTTTGTGAAAGAAGCTCAAAATAAATAACGCCTTTCCAATCCTACTAAATATACCACATGATCTTTTTAGGATGCAGACCAGCCTTGGTTAATGGTGCTTCATCTTATTTGCGCTCTACGTTATTATATACGCTCCATTTTTCACCATAATCATCTGTTTAAAAAATTATTTGTTTTCGTTGTGTTTAAAGAGCGAATCACAGATGGAAATGCGATTTTTATTAAATTTTTATCGGTCAAACGTGAGGAATTCAAATATCATGGCGATTCACAAAGACAAGTGCTTCCAATTGCTGTGCAACGATTGAATTAGATATATATATGGAATATATCCGTTATATCTCGTAGTGTAGCGTTGATTATTTTCAATTAATGCTGAAATTGGATCACCGAAGGTTTATCTGAGCGTTCTTGGTTTCCGATGCTAAAATCACTACGTTTAAAGCAAGCTAACCACTTTTAAAGAGTTCTTTCAGCTATGACCTCCGTAAACGGCACAAATCTTTTTTGTTATCTGAATGGCGTTCTTGTCTTTCTTGAAGTAAAAAAACATAATATATCGAAAATGCATCTTATTTTCTTCCATTTTCAAATGGCTATAGGACGAGCAAAACTGGATCAATTTAATTATGTTTATGTTTGAAAGACGCATCGAAATGTCACTTTTCAGAGTATGTACATATGTTACAAGTACATACGCATGACATAGATATACATATTTTAATGTCATCTGTTGAAAAACTGCATGAACTTTCTGAATAATCCAATATTACATAATTTATGAATTATTCATATATTAATAAGAAACATATGCCAACATAGACATTTGTAATAGCATTTCTAGATATTCCCACAGCCACAACTATTATCTATTACATATTATCTTGTAAATGCTCTTTGTGAACGTCGGTAACCGAATATATATGAGTTAACATAAATCTCTTTAAAAAAACGTATACCTTGCACGTGATTCATGATGGTGGAACCCAACCACCGAATGTCGTTTCAAGTTCTTTAGCCACCGCAAAGCATAGATGATCATTGTATGGAGCTGCTACCACCTTCAATTAGAAAAAATACAAATTAAAAAATACAGCAGTATTTTATAATAATAATGCAAGTTTTAAAGGTGATGAAAAATGCTTTGTTAAGCAAAGAATAAATTTTAAAGAATATGCTATAGAATTCAGAAATACAGTGGTGTACAATGTTACTTATTATTAGTAGTCGTTAATGATTACTGCTAGAAGGAAAAGAAACAATCAGTAATCACTGATTATATGTGAAACACGTAAATAAGTCATATATAAATTATAATTATATATAAATAAGTGCATTTTAGTAAAATAAAAAAAAAAGTTATATTTTCTGCTACATGCGATTTAAATTCATATAATACATACAGTTTTATTAAATGACTCGTATGATAGAAAGAAACTTCTGAATTAATATAAATGTCCAAACATATACAAAATATGAAATTTGTACTTTTCGTTTTTTTTTCGCTTTTCTTGTGCAGAATGAAAAATTCTCCAAAGTGCAAGAAAATACGCAAATAAATGTGGAAAAAACAATGTAAAAACAAAGTTTTGCAATTACTAAAGTTGACAAACAAAAACTAATTATTGTTTCCTATTTCCATTACTAGGTTATTTCTTCATGTGATACAAATGATTCACAGCATGTAATCAAAATATAAATATTAATCCACATTTGAACAATATATAATAATATTTTAAGACCTTAAGTTCATAATTTTGAAATTTACAAAAGAAATAAACAAAAAAGTACAATTTGAATACAAATGTGTATACGACATTGATGTAGTAGTAAACATATCACACTACATCAATATTAAGCATACATGTGCATAAATCGTCTGTAAAACAGCGATGCCACAGAGTTTATACATCCTTCCAGAATCCTCATAAATGTTAATTTTAAATCTACTAATATGCCAAAATCTTACCTGAATACCAACTGGCAAGCCCTGTTCATCCAAGCCCAGTGGTACTTGGCAAGTTGGAAACCGCAAAACATTGAACAGACACCAATAGCCAAAGTTAAAGGGTCTCAGAAATGCAGAATAATGATAACTGGCGGGAAAGGGTGCCGAAGGATAAAACAATACCCCATTGTTACTCAATTTCTCCTGCGGAATGATTTCCATGATAAACATAAAACGATATACAGAGTGTCCAGTAAATCACCTGCAATACTTCGGGAGGTAATTCAGCACCCAAAAAAAAGAAAAAGATATACTTAAACATAGGTCTGGAAATAAATCGTTTGAGTTATAACCACTTTTATGTTAAAAAAATTTTAATTTATTTTTCATAATTATAATTATAATCACAATCATAATTTATAATTATGATCGTAATTAGTTATAATTTTTTTTTTCAGAATTCAACACGTGGATGCATTGTTCGATTAGCATCCCTCTTTTTTAATTTTTTTTCAATTTTTCGGTACTTGTAAATACGATTACATTATTTTTAGAATGAAGAATAAACGTAAATAAAGATATTAAAATAGAATTAAATAATGTTCAAAATGACCACTTTCAGCACGAATTTCAGCAGGTCCTTATTCTGCTATCAAAGGAATTTTGAACTCTTTGAACATTTGGATCCTTCCGAACTATTACAATTAATATTCGATTAACTAAACTCGATTTAAATATCTGTTTATCCTTTATTTTAAAAGTAATATAATTATATTTATAAATAACAAAAAATTGAAAAAAAAAGAAATTAAAAATTTTAAAAATATAAAACAGGAGGGATGCCAAGCGGACTATGCCTCCACGTGATGAATTCTGGGTACAAACATATTGTTATTATAATTGTGATTATGAAAAATAAATTATATTCTTTTAACATAAAAGTGATTATAACTCGGGAACGACTTATTTCCGGATCTATGTTTATATAATCTTTATTTCCTTCTTTTTGGGTTCCAAATCATCTCCTGAAGTATTGCAGACGATTTACTTTACACCTTGTATATAGAAATTCACATAAGAATTGATCAAGGAATATTTTCCTCAATTTTTGAATTCTTTTCTTCTACACCAGATTTGTCCAACCTTTGTGCTCGCTAATGCTTTCATTTCTTCATTGTCTCGTTGAAACAGAGAGAAAACAAAAAAGAATAAATATTAGATCTCATACCAAGTGATTGATTCTAGCGTCTAGCATTTAACTCTAGCATCTATTCTATTTCGTTTTCTCTGTCTCGCTCAATGATACGATGGAAAAGCGTTTAGTTCGCGAGCAAGTGTTGTACAGACCTACATTTAATTTCTCTTTTGTAATAATTACCGCCAAGAATTTTTTCGCTTTTGTAATGGCATTTTTTGTCCATTCGGCGTTTTCCCGTGGTAAGAAATCTTCATCCATTAATTTCATGATAGCAGCCAACGTTAACTGTGAATTTCCAGTGAGTAAATTGTAAATTTCTCCACTCGCGCTGGCGACATACTGCAAAGTGAATGTTTTTGAATCAAGAGTCAAGGCACTGTGACTCAAATGTTGTGAAGATATAACATAAAGTTTAATACAAAATATGGAATTTAAACATTGCTAAGATACATACTGTTGTTTTAAAACATGTTTACAAGATTTTAATCGCGAATTCAATAGGACGCACTTACAAAGTGTGCAGTCAATACACATTAATACCGTTGTTCCAATAGCATGACAATGCACTGTTCCAATCTCAATGTAAAAATAAAGTATCTCGAATAATAAACAATATCCAATATATAATATATTTTACCAAATATAATAAAATATTATTAAGAATTTCACGGTTTAACCAGTTCTGTATTTATATTCAACATATTTTTACATCGATTTTTGTACAATAATTTTAATGTGCACTGACAATAAGTGTCCAATCGTATTTGCTATAAAATTTAATTCTTACCTTTCGATTCGTTATGTTCAACTTGAAATTAATCTCCTCGCCGTACATACAATATCTCCACAGTTTGAAACTATATTGAGAACCTGGTATTTTAATCTGTAACATACAAACAGAGTAATTTCCTACATGTACAAATTTTGAAATTTACTAGAAATTAAAAAACAAAACTTTCTGAAAATAAATTAACTTTTACAAGGTAGAGAAAAAAATAAAGAAAAAATAAAAAGGTAAAGAGAAGAAAAAAAATCTAATAAATCTCTTTTCTAAAAATTTTTATAAAATTAAATAACTTGAGATTCCTACCTTTGTTGCAGAACCTGTCAGTTCTCTAAAATGTTGCACTGCTTTCATTAATGTAACTCGCATGGTGCTGTTTATTTTGCTTGCTCTCAAATCACCAGAGCTCTCTTGGTAAAATACTTTCAGAGTTTTTAAATTCACCGGCTCATCCAGTTTTAATTTAGTCACGTTAGGACCGATTACTGCCTTCAAAAATGGTGCTAGATCTTCAGCCTTTCTGCAAATTGGTCCAACTGTACACATTGTGTCTGGATAATCTTTCTCGCGTAATCCGATTCCAGCTATTGGAGTCAATCCTAATAATATTAATAATCATATTATTATTATTATCAGTATTTCAAAATTGAATAATTTTAAACTAATAACATACTAAAAGTATAAATATAAAATAAAATTTGAAACTTCTTTCATTTTAATTATTGCAGAAATATCACATATGTTCATCTAGTTTTTAAAACGGATAGAGAGTAATTTATCAATTTGAAATTGCCTTAATAATTTCAATAATAATTACAATAATATCTTTATTGACCTTCACTGGGTTTGTGGCCAAACAATCCATTAAAGAATGCGGGCATTCTTGTGGAGCCTCCTATATCACTAGTAACGGCTAATGGAGCACCACTCGCTGCTACTATGGCCGCATCTCCCCCGCTGCTACCACCGACCGTCCTAGTGGTATTGTAAGGATTATTTGTCTGTCCATATACATTATTCCTCGATTCGGTCCATAAAAGGAGTTCGGGAATATTGGTTGTAGCAATTAAAATCCCACCGGCCTCTTTGAAAAAACGAACTGCTGTGGCATCCTCTTCTGCACGATGATCACGACGACAGAGTATGCCCATGGACTGGATTAAACCTAATGAGATAATTAATAATAAGAATTTTATTAATTAATGTTATTTAAAAAAATAATAGTTCCATTATTATTTAAAACAGTAAAACTGTTTCTCTTTCTATTGTATAACACATTTTTCTAAAAAATATTCTAAATAAATGTTGCTGGGGACATAAAATGATTAAGTTTAACTTTATTATCAAGATTATATCAATCATTTTTATTTTCTTTTAATAAAACCATGTAAATTTTCTTACATAAATCGATCTCCTTTGGTATTCTTCACATAAAATTATAAAAGATAGTATAAATAATGTTATTTAAAACTCAATAGCTTATTTTATATTTTGTGAATTATGAAATATGAAATATCTCATACAAGTACAGATAGAGTTAAGCATTAACATAAAAGAAAATTTGCAGTATCAGGCAAATTATTTATTATGCATTCATATACTTATCACGCCTCTATTCTTTTCAAATATGCTGACACTGATTTATGTTCAATTAAAAATTCTTGTTTATTCATCATTCAGATTGTGACATCAGAAACGAGTAAATATATATTCAGACAACACAAAGTCCAAAATTGGGACATAAGATGTCTTAAAGACTTTTATCAGGAGACACGGTAGTGGCTTGATGTCAATCTTTAAAAAACTATAAATATAAATAAAATATATAATATAAAATATATGTATGTATATAAAAATGATGTCAGTTATATATGTCATATATGTCAAGCCATACCGGGTCTCTTAACGCGAGCCGTCGCGTTGTGAGCACCTGAGATTTTAAGATCTCAATAACGGTCGAACCGATTAAGTTCCAAGTATCTTTAATCGACGGCTTGAGTTCGGTTTGTGTAATGAAAGTGTTTTTATTTTTTTTTCTACATGTCCTACGAGCGAAGATATTGCAATGCAAAGTTCGAAATGTGGGAATTTAAGAATAAAAATAAAAATTATGTAATTATATTATATTATTTAAATAAAAATTATGTTATTTAACCTAAGTGATGTGTATATCGTTTGTATAAAATATTTGTTGTCAATAATTGGCGTCAAATTATACTCTCATAAAATAATTAATTTACAACCCGAGTGACATGTATGTAGATCGGAAGAGCACA